CCCCCCCCCCCCCCCCCCCCCCCCCTCAAGCATAGACTTTCCACCCGGCAACCGTACAAACAAATGCAATAAACGCACGCACAAGCAGACAAGCAGCAGCGCACCCCTCATTCACATTCACTCCCTTGGCGGCGGTTCGTTCGTTGCCTTGGACAGAACTTTACAGGATCTAAACAGGAGAGAGGGCAGAGAACCAAGCCATCCACCCCCCTTGCCAAAGAGTAAACAAAAAGAAACTTCTCCAGAGTTCCCAGCTCCGAACTTCCGTCAACAAGAAAATCAACGTAAAAGGCAATCGCAAAGGGGAATGGGAAAGCTCTTTCGCTTTGAACGCAGCGAAATCAACCCCGAAAAATGAGCGGGGGAGCGAAAAGACATCGGGTTGAAGGGGGTGCTTGATGGCAGAGGGGGGGAAGGGCATAGGAGCTGTGCAACTGTCTAGACTGGAGTACATTTATCATGCACACAAACATACATACATAAATGCATTTGTATTTATATGTATATGCACATCCCGCACACAATTCCAACTAACAGGAGTGGAGTGGGGAACTGGGCGACGACTCACCTTTACTGTTGGGTTTTTGTATATCTTGTTGAATTTTCTATGTCTAATATCCGCGCTTTCGTGCTTCCGTTGCTCAGCTTGCGGGAGTTGTTCCTCTGTTCTTCCGTTCCGTCTAGTTGTTGCTCTCTGCAGTCACTAATCTGATTGCTCTCTGCTTGGTGTGGCTGTAGTTGTAATTGTGTTGCTTTTGTTTGCGGGGACACGCTGAAACAGATTTGTGTAGCATTCTTTTCGGGTGCTGTCAGTTAATGGCGGCGCGCGCACAAAATGCTACAATGGAAAAACAAAAATAAATTAATATAAAAATATGTTTTTATATCCGGTGAATGATTATTATTCTTGGTTAATTAAACTAACACAGTGGACTATACTATGACGTGAGTGTCTGGGCAAGGGTACTGCACGAAAAAAACATCTACTGTCCCGCGCGACGTGCCGCGAATGGCAGTTCAGTTACCAGCAAAACTAACTGCGCATAATGCAGCGACCCGGGTAAAGCTCCCAAGCAGAAGCAGCAGTAGCTCAGTCGACGTCGACAGCGACTGCGACTCAACTTCGATGTCGCCACCTGCAGAATGAGCGAGACCACGTCCTGTGACTGGGGACCAGACAAAAATATCCAGAAATGCAACTCTGCATTTCACGAGGCGACTGGCTACGTCAGAGCAGGGTCTGCTCCCGGTTAGCAAATTAACGGCAAAATGCCCACAATTACCGAGACAGAACAGGCGAAAAATCAATATACTCTCACACACTCAATGTTCTACTATTCACATGCATATAACGGCAACAAGCTGCGAGAGAGCCAGCAAAGAGGATAGCAACAGACCTGAGCGCGAGAGAGAATGAACTAGCGCGCCGAACTGTTGAATGCCGGTCCGGGCCAGGACCAGAAACAGCAGAGCAGAGAACCAGAGAAGAACAAACTGCATTCCCCCTGGCACTAAGAGTTGTTGTTGCTGTTGTTGTTTAGCAACCCCTAAAACAATATGGCGGTTTCCAGACCAGACTAGACCACCCACCCACCCGAAAAACTCTCGAAAAACCTCCCCCTCATGAGCAACAATTTTCCGTGGTAGAAATTTCGCGCGGGCTACAGGTTGCGTGCTCCGAGAGCCAGCGCCACAGAGAGAAGAGATATTTCAGCGAAGAGAGGCGAACAAGAGAGAGAGATAGCAAGTAGGAAGAGTTCTCAGAGCCCGCGTCACTGTTCTGCCGCTGCCTGCGCATGTTTTTTCCCAATTTGGGCAACGACCGCAATAAGCAAGCGAAAGCAATAGCAACAGCTCTCTTTCTCTCCCGCTCTGACTCACTAGATGTGAACTGTGGGCCGGTGGGCCTGTGGGTGGCTGGCGGCATGACTGTTCTATGTTGCTGTAGAAGTTTCGAGCAGCAGGAAGCGCTTATGTTGCCGTCGCCAGCAGTGCAACAGCACAGCAGCATAACGGTGAACATTTCTGTGAGAAGCGACGAGAAATACCCAGACGACGGGCACACACAATTTATTGCATACACATGTACACACATAAATATGACCAAAATAATAGACCCACTTGCAGAACCTGCATAAAATAGAGTCTAGGTTCAGTCCAGTTACAGATTTACATCCGTCTGTAAATGTGAAGTTAAAAATACATTAAAGACGAGATCCTTCAGGGCTCCATCAATCTGGATACAACAAGAAATGGAAACATCTTTACTTCTACCCTTTTCGCAGCTAACTGAGAAAGCCTACAGCTCTATCTCAATTCCTGGGGCCCACGCCAGAAAGTGACTCATAAATAAACTTTGGGCTCTAATGGTAATTTCAACAAATTAGTTAATATACACAAGAATAGCGATAAAACGTCACCGGCATATCCAATTCACCGATTCCTTTTGGTTGCCGGCAGAGGTTGATAGTGGGTGCGCTTTGTCTATCGATTAGATTAGCACATTTCTGATTGGAGCATGGCCCATGCTCCGCAGCGAGGAGGGGGTGTGCATCGCAGGCCAAACTGTCGAACTGTCAGTCCGATTGTATATCATGACAAGATAAATATCATTCGGGCCATCAGAAGAAGCGTCCGGATCTCAATATCTGCGCCATATGTTTTCTCTGAAGTGGATCGCTGAGGGAAGGGGGGAGCAAGGGGTACCAATGAAATGTACAAATTCCAGACGACTTGTAAGTGTTTAAAAATAGAGAGAAAAGGGGCTAATAATCAGACAGTGCACTGCACTCTGTCTCTCCCTCCCAGCAAGTATAACATAATAAAGAGAGAAGAAAAAGAAGAAGGGAAGAAGTGTAAAGTGGGAAGTGGAACAAACGGCGCAGCCATTACTAATTCAAAACAATTTGTACACGATTATGAATTTCATGGCTCAGCAGAGTGGCAACAGCCAACGGCGAGGGCCCTCCTGTTGGACACGTCGGTGGAGATCGTTATATTCCCGACGGAACCAGGGGGCCCTGCTAAAGACACAGAGAGCCAAGTTCAAGCCATAGGTGGTGGAGGGAGAAGTGAGCAGTTCTGGTTCTGCAGAACTCCTCTCCCCCCACAAACAAACTCAAAATAAACAAAGCTCTGTTCCACTTCCATTCATTCCCCGCAGCCGTTTGGGGTTACGACGGAAACTGCGACTGCAGCAGAGTTCAATGGTACTGTGTGCCCAACAACAAGAACAACAGCACCAAAGCCAAAGAGCATGTCGCACAGACACACACGCAAGTGTAGCGACACACGGATACACAGGGGCAGGGAGTGAGAAGGAAAGAGCCATAGCCATAAAACAGAACAAAGAAAACTACATTTACCTGATGCACACACACACACCCAACACACAAATACATGCAGGAGCAGCATTTCTTCTAGAAGATAAAATATTCGTCCCAATCGCAGTCCCGATCCAATCCAATACCCAGGTTGGGACAAAGGCACCGCCACAGCACGACCCGCCGCTGTTCGATGCAAATTCTGTCTGTACGTTCACGTTCCCCAGAATTTCGCGACGTTCCGCCCCACCCTCTCTCTGCCGAACAAATTTACAGGCAGGGGACTATGCGTCAGCTCTGCTCAAGCTGCTGCTGAATGAAATTTTATTGAACAAGACAATGGCGAAAAAAATCTGCGACGCCAGGCACAAGGGAGTTTTATTGTAGCCAAGAGCGCAAAAGTGAGACAGAGAAGGAGACGCAGACAGCAGCATCCAATTTAGCAGAGCAGAGCAAACAGCGTCCCGATCCCGACGCTCTCCCACGACTAGCGCCTGCCCTTTCCCACTACTGCGGCAGCCCGGCAGGTCAACGGCGTCGATGCAGTTCTTGTTTTTTCGTTGTCTTCTACCTCCTCCTCTCTTCCTGTTCTTTCTGCACAACAGTTTTCTTTCTTACTGCGCTTTGTAGTGTCTGTGGTTCGTGTTCTCCCGCTCCCTCGACGGCCATTCCCTGCTGTTGACAGACCATTACGCTGAGAGAGAAAGGGACAGATGAAGTATGGACTGTGTGTGTGTCCTGGCCACAGAGAAGCAGAGGAGACTGAATATTGGGACTAAAAGTACAGTGCCGGATCGCAGCATAGATGCAGCAGCACAAAAATATTGTCGTTATCTATTGACTGCATCCACTCCAATCAAACGGAACGTGTTCTGCCGGCTCGTTCCTCGTGTTAACGTCTGATAAATATTTGCTATCTGCTTTAACATTTTCAATTAGAGTTGTACCATTTTCGATTTCGGGAATTTTCGCCCCGACCAAGTGTGTTTATGTTCCATCTGGCGTTATCTATTACGTGGTGCAGCAAGCGCGACTCTACACTGCCAGATAATGGAAGCACACACAAAACAATTTGGTTCAGAGACCCCGACCCCGACCAAGCGACCCACTTCTGAAGCAAGCAGGAAATGCATTGCAGCGAAGACGCTGGAAACCCAGCCACTGGCCAATAGATTCCGGATCGAGGGCCCTAGAGCAAGAGCTCGCGATAGATCCCCAGCGGAGGCGACAGCTTTCAATCAGTCAAAGCCAAATCGAGCGTGAAACAACACACATGGAGCCACATCCAATGTTGTTTTTTTTTTGTCCGCTCCGTGTGTTTATGTTCGACGTTCGAGTAGAATCAAATTTTAAACACGTTTAGGTTTTGTATTTTAATGAGGAGGCCCCCGAGCGACGCTCGCACGTCGATCAGTCGGACCGGACCGTCTGGCTGCTCGTCAACAACAGTGATTAACTTTAAAGAACATTGCCGTAATTTTTTCTGTTTAAAATACACTCAGAAACAAGAAATAAACCCGAGTTTTGTTCTTCCGCATCGGAGCCACAGCAGGAACATCCGCAGCAACTTTAGCAGTCGAGTCTGGGCATTGTTTATACAGTTGTGTCGCAATAAATAGGATCGAGCTGAGGGTAAAGGTACCCCCCCCCCCCCCCCCCCCCCCCCTGGTAACCAACCATCGCCACCACAGATAGTGATTGTTTGTCCTTTGCATTCACTAGTGGGAGCGGGGGCACATCGATGCCGGACGCGACACGGAGGGCGGGCGTACAATGAAATAAGAAATGAGATAATAATAACAAAAAGCGCACAAACGCAGTGCTGCCCTCAACAACAACACAGCGAAGAAGAACAAACACAAAGCAGAGAGCGGAAAATACACGCGGGGGTCCAAATGGGGCAGAAGGCAGGGCTATGTAGCAACAATGCAAGTGATGCGCCGCACGAAGGTAAAAGGCGAGAAGGAAAACAGCACCACACACACACACACACACACACTCACACAGAATCACAATAAGGACACAGATACACTCGCACACAGTTGCAACCACGAACGCTTGCTTGCTGCCGCCGATTCTAAACAAGTTGATGAACTCTGCTCGCCAGCTACGGCGTCAGCGTCGGCATCAGCGTCATAGAGAGGAAGAGAACCACAGTTCAGTTTTATTTTTCACAAGTACATGGGCAAGCATATGTATGTATCAGTGCAAATGTACATATGCATTTACTTATGTGTTTGAGGTTTTTGCAGATGCGAGTTGCACTTATATTTATTTTATTGGATATTCCACTATTATTAATACTTTTTATTGCTTTTGCACAGAACGAACTGCACACGCACACACATAGACACTCACGTAGACGTAGACGGTGAGAAAACAACGGCGCGACGGGGCTGCTGCTTGTTGGTACGACGCGAGCGCACACGTTGCTTTTCAGTTTTTTCGCTCAAATATAACAAAAACCTAAATGCTAACTGAATTCCGTTGCTTTTCCGGCGAGTGCTAAGAACGG